TAAGACCGCTATAATTTCCTAAATGAAGGTTCTCACAGTGATCTAAACGTTGAAAAATAATATAAATTCATGTAACGGCAAATAATTAATTCATGCTATTCATTTAGCTGTTAACAAGTTACTAAGTTTAAAAATATCATTCATGTGATAACGAAAATCGGGACATCTTAATGTGAAGTGGTCTAACACAAATAATCAGGTAGCGATGTTTGTTAAAAGCCACATATTATCCTAAGGGTATTTATGATTATCGAAACATTTTAACTCAAAGATGTAAAGACAATCAATTCAGAAATTTGTTATTCATCTCTTAAAAAGAGTTAGTTAACTGGAATATAGCAGTGCTAATGAGTCTGTTGTTATTCAGACAGAAGTTCGATATTTATGTGTGAATTATAAGTTGGTAGGTTTAAGTAATCTTGTGATGGGATGTTCAACTTGATTGCCCTCAAGCTTCGTTAAATATACCAGCTGCCTGAAAACGTAACCCTCCAACTGTTATGACTACAAATTAAATTTGGTCGACTCTCAACTATAAGTTTAGTCACTACTGTAACTAATTATAATAAATAAATTGATTTTTGCAAATGTCACGGTAGGTAGTAGCGATTTTTTAGTTGCGGTACATATTCTATCCTCTTAAATATAGCACGCATTCAGTGGAAACTAAGTATTAATTTTAATTGTAAAAGGATATATGAAAGTCTACGCACATTTTAGGGTACCTTGGTCTCAATTTTTTCTATTCCGTACATCAAGTTAATATGATTAATGATGAATAACGTGGCTTAAATAACAGTGAACGAACATGGACGGTATTATTTCTCCCACTGTTAATTGATCTACTACCAGAATATTTCAGTCAAAATTACTTTCTGCGAGCAGTCTTGAACTGGGTTGCTTAGCTTTAAGAATTGAGCCTATCTACAATTGACTCGTCACTTAATAGTGAGCAACCTTGTCTGTCAAGTCGACCAAGTTACAACGTGGACATTAATTTAAGTGACTCGTCTAGACTATTAATAAAGGACTGAACAAACGCTACATATCACTACATGGTGGTCAATTGTAATTACCTGCCCCACGGAATCCTGTCGCTGTCCGAACAGATTAGAGGTAACATCGATCATGAAGATGAGTGGCTTGATTTCGCAGTTATCAACTGATACTTCGCCAGAAGTCTAGTTTTGACTTCAGTATGAAACTTGAAGTTAGGACTGATGCATGGTAGGGTTAATGGGGCTCTCTTCTTGTGGGTACCTGTAAAAAGTGGGGTACAGTCCTAGGCCCTCTTCTCTTTTTACTTTATGTAAATGAATTGCCAACTGTAGCAAAACCATCCGTCCTACTCTGCGCTGATGACATAAAGATCTGGAGACCTATACATAGTATATTGGATAGAGTGGTATTACAGGATGATCTTAACTCATTGGTGGCATGGTTAGACAGGTGGTCACTAGAAATAAATCCTAATAAGAGTGTAGTGATGTGGTAAAATAACTCTGATGAGTTGTATCACTATACACTACGTGGATTCGTGCTACCCAAAGAAAGATTTAGGAGTCGTATTAAGCAATGATTTCAAAACCACTAGTCACTGTAAAGCTGCTGCTGCAAAAGGCTATAGGGTATTATGGTCAATTCGTAAGTCTTTCCAGCAGCGCGTCCTTGTTCCAAGTATGAAGCAGATGTGCTGGAAATAGTTCAAGGACGAGGTACTAAGATGGTACGGGGTCTATCTGGCCTATCTTATGAAGACAGACTGAGACACCTTAACTTATTTCCGTTATCTTACCGTAGATTACGGGATGATCTAATATTGGCTTATCGTATACTGAACGATGACCTTGGTATTAACGTGTCTTATCTCTTGCTTTCGTCTAGGACCGATCATTTGAGAGGACATTCGAAGAAAGTTCAAAAACCGAAATAAAATCGTTTACGTCCGGAGTTCCGTCGCTCGCACCGAGTAGTGAATTACCGGAACACGTAATATCAGCACCCTCTGTTAACACAGTATTACAAACTGCAAGAATTCATATAGGTCGATAGACCTCCTATCCTTATTACTGAAGACTGACAGAAACACAAGATGGAAATATCTGAACCAACACATAGTTCGAAAGTCGTGCACACCACAGAAAGTTGAGTTTAAATGAGTGATATAAATTATATTGATGCTATCAAGCCGAAAGTATAACCATAACACCAACCGGAAAAGGTTTAACGAGTAGTCTCAAGTTTTCAGTATACGGTGCAATTGTTTAAAGATATCGAAAAGACGTGTTGGTATCAATCTCAAGTTTCTGAATGAAGATAACCGAACGTCCACATTTCCTAGTCAAACCATTAACCCTATGATTTCCGCTTAAGTCCCTATGTTCAACGTCCCGAAAGACTCAATTTTGATATGAATTATAACACCAAATGTCTGGAAGGGCGGGGGACTGTCACACAGATGAGTATTCGCAATATTCTATAATCTGATAATAACAATGTGATTGAGACTGAATCGTTTGTTGAATTGCCTCTGACCACGAACTTGTCGAAATAGACAATAATCTATGATTGGCAAGCGAATTGTATTATTTCTCGCTAAATTATGTTTTGCATATGTAGCGTTTGATTTTAATACATTTAGTCAGTTATCGAGAAAATGTTAATATTTTACGTAGACAACCAAAAAGCCACTTAATTTTGTAAGAGCTAAACAATTCGAAGAACACAGACAAGAGACTTGTAACTGATTCTAAACGGAAACCCTAATTATAATATAGATTTCTAGGTTCATATTTCTGCTTATCTAGCAAACGTAGCACGCGCACAGTCCTTTTTTAAGTGGCTGATAACGTTTCCCTTTCATTCGCACTGCCTTTAAGCTTAAATATGTCCTAAGAATTGCTTAATATCAGTTTCCCAACATTTACATGTATTTCCTCACATGATATTCAGGAATGCATTTGATCGGTATACTGACATATGAGCAACGTGAGTTAGCATCTTGATATTTTTCAAAAGTTAGGTGTTTGAATACCTTAGAGATGTAAAGAGCTATATAATTCCCCTGATTAGGGGATTATTAGCAGGATGCACTAGGACTACTGAACAGATAGAGGACGAGTCCTGATGAAGGAACTAACATCCTGAAATTGTCATATTTCGAAAGCATACAAATCTAGTATTTGGCCTGCTGTCACTTAGTCAGCTACAACGCAGGACCAGCACATATGTGCATCGGTCCAAGTTGCCATACCTCATTAGCACAAGATTAACACTGGATTCATAGAAGTAGTCAATTCAACAGTGATAATATATAAAAGAAAAATTGCATATAAGGACATAGTACAGGAAGAATGAATTAGTTCGTAGAAATAAACATATTAAACAATTTTAATCTCATAGTTTAAGGGAAGACAGAGTGTGTACACCTACGCCATTGTGGTCAATTCTAAACCATGTCACCGACAGTCTCCAACCATTGGTTACGATAGTCACGTGGACCCCAACCAAGTAGTCTGTATCTACCAACATGACTCAGACCAGAAATTGGCGACTTCAAGAGCTAATGCCACGTTTTCGTTTGGCCGCCCCTTTCTTCCAACCATCCCCGACACTAGTCGACATTGCACGTCGTGGTAATCGGTGTTCAGATATACACAACACGTGACTCATCTCAGTCGATGAAGATCCACAACTTTATCAACTGACTTACCACCATTCCCTAATACCTTGCGTCTAACTTCACTATAACTTACCGGGTGATCCCAGCAGACGCGAGCAATACTTCGAAGGCATCTGTGGTCAAATACTAGTAGCTTACGAATATCTCCCACTCTTAATGGTCACGTTCCGCAGCCGTAAAGTAGAACTGAACGGACTGCTGCGCAGTGTACTCGTCCTCTAGTTGGTAGACGGATATCTCACCTTCGCCATAAGTCACGTAAGTTGGTAAAAGCCAAGCAAGCTTTCTGAATCCATGCTGAGATTTCGCCAGACACCAACCCATTACGGTTGATCAGACTTCCAAGATAAGTGAAGTTGTCAACGCAACCGACTACTCCACTCCCTATCCTTAGTTCAGGTTCTGACGCAGACCAGTCCCGAAGTGACAACTTGCATTATGAGGGGGAGAAACGCATCCCAAACATCCTCGCATTGTTGCTCAGTGCTACCGAAAGACTGCACTTTACCATCGCCTTCACCAAACAAGACTATATCACCTGCGTATTCCAAATCGATAACTGAACCTCCTGGATGGCGATCAATGCCCGAAAATCCAGTCGACGAGAACGTTATTTTCAGCAGTATGTCTATGATGAAAACGAACAGAAACGGAGATAGTGGACAACCTTGTCGGACACAACTTGAGGTTGCGAAAGCAGATGATAGTTCGTCATGAGCTCGGATTAATTTGATTGCGACAGAAGTTCAAAACGTACTCTCGCAGTCAGTGTCCAGAGAAAACAACTTGAATTCAGGCAAAGCTTAATAGAACGATACATCGCTTGGTAGTGTTGATATAAAAGCCAGCAGTGCAAACGCACAAATAAGTTTAAGAAAACTAGTTCCATAAAACACGACAATGTATCATAAGGCTAACTTAGGGGGCGTAAATTTCGAGGTAGTATAAGAAGCATTTCCATATGAAGTAGATATGTTATTTGAAGCAGTGCAGTGGTGAATCTTGTCGGTTTTATATTACTTAACTAACATTTTTAGGTGCTCATGTGAAGTCGAAAGATTCTAACCAGTGCTTACAGCCATCTCGCAGAATTGAAAGTCGACTCCCATATTGAAACTAAGCACAAGGACATTAAAAACTACATTCAACAACTAAGAAAATTATTTAGTATCACAACCGAAATTAAATTGAACTCTTCAAAAGCCTGTTTTTCAATTCTGCAAAAATCATCCTTGGGAATAATCCTTAGAAACCTGTGTTCAAACCATGGAGAACGGCCGTACGGAAACCTGCGCCAACCGCAGGTTGGACTGGTTTGTCAGTAATCATCAAGATTGAAGTCATCCTCAAAATCAACATCTCCACCCGCCAAATGATTAAAATCGAGTTGGTAGCGTAGAATACCTACAGAAGCAAACCAATAACTTTTAAGTATGTAAAAACTTACTAAACATGAGAAAAACTCAGGACCCTTCTACATTCTCCGTGTGCATAGTATTTCATCAGTGAAGTTTATTTATACTTTGCAGGGTATGCACCTCAACTAAGATAAATGCATCCAATTGTTATACCCCTGAAAATAGATAATTTGCTACTGCCTGTCGGTTACTTGCACAGATGCGTAATACCAAAGCGCACTAGACAAAGATGTTTCAATCAACGAAATCGATACATCAGAAGTCTAGGTTAGCTCAGAAGCAGGTCAATCAAAGACAGGTGTATACTGATACGACAACTCAGATGTACTGAGAGCAGAAGTCTGATGAATCTATATTAGTCATTTTTGGTAAGCCGCAGTGCCTAGTGTTGTATGTGTCAATTGAATGTGTAGATACCAGTTCATCGAGTACTTGATCCCGAAGGTTAATGGCTCGGCGTGAAGATCTATATGCTACAGCTATATCATCCATTCTTAACTTTTCAATTTCAATGGTGTTTAGTATTCATCATTCCCTTTCTTAGTGCAAGTTATCCCAGTAGTCCATTGAACATAATTTAACGACTGGAAACTACGTTCTTTAGTGAACAGTACAGAAACCAAGAGACTGCGGCTTCGACACCTCAATACCTCTCAAATTGCCGTCTCACTCAGGGCATTTACCAACGAAAAATACGCAGTACATGCCTACTAGGATAGCGATTTATGGAGGGCAGAAAACTTGATATGAGCACACATATTAAGGTGCCGAGTCCATTAACCAGTTTGCGTATGACGAAAGTTGCCTTGACATTCCCTGTAAGCAATATACAGATCTATTTGAGAACCTTATACATAATTGACCGAAACGTTTATAGGATGTGTAACGGTTGAATTTAACAAAGACTTACCACCTATCCCACCAAAGCCGCGAACAAACTGAGCACCTTCCTGAGACTTGTCAGTGACAATTTCTAAAGTCGTCCCAAAAGATCTGTAGTTTAGGGCGAGCCAGTCTAGAAGAAGCTGAGTATCTAGAATTTCCAAATCAGATCCTGTCGCCGGGTCAATGAAATGTCGTCGGTCCGTTTCCTGGTCAGGACGCAGGTGTATAACTCTATTTCCTGAAAGAAAGAAATTTTTGTGTGAAACCGCTTTAAATATAATGTAGGACCATGCCTTTACGCAATTGCTCAATTCAGAGCAACGCATCAAGATTGTTCCTTGTCATCAATTTGATGTACGTCACGTGTACTGCCTGCAAGCAAATTCAAGCAAGCAGGATAATGCAGTGACAAAAAACCTTAACATATGTGAGTCTCGGTCTAACAAATCTAAGACTTGGGATTTGTTAATCACTGACTCAAAATCACACTCATCTCAATTCTCTCAAGAAAGAGATCAGTGTGATTGATCACGTTATTTTGTGTCACTGCGATTGTAAGTGCACTTTATCACTTACAATTGCGCCTGACATCGTAGTAGAAATAGTGAAGTAACAACTCCCTATTACCTTTACTATACTAACCTTCAGAATTCGGGACTTTGAGGACGTAGCGGTTTACACTAAGGTTCTCCCACACCACGAGGGTCTCCACAGCACCCATCTCTAGGGACTTCAAGGTGTCCTCAACGCCAAAACAGTACTTTCCACTATCCTTTGTAAGAGGTAAAACAAATATACTAAGGCTCACTTGAGATATCTCGTCAAAGTATCTTTGAATCAGTTTTTTTTCCTGAATGAACTTTACGCCAGAAAGTGTATCTGTGGCCAGTTCGATAGCTTGGTTAAATCCTGTTTCACCACCATATGATATATCTACTATTTTAATCAACTTTGCTTGAAGCCTCTGAAAAAATGTTATTATTCACCAGTCCACTAACTTGATCAAACATATCAGATTGTCCTAAGTCACTCTTGAAGTCAGCAATCCCCGCAAGGATGAGACCTTCGATATTCGGTCGATCGTTTGTTATAAAAAGTTGCGTTGCTGTCTCGGCTACTTTGCGAACATAGTTGTGCCGCTTTTCCATCCGCAAACGTGCGAAACGAAGTGCAGATTGACCTCCGCGACCATGTTTTTTCGGCAATTCTACCGTAAATTTGTGCAGAACCTCGCGAGTGTTTCCCGATAATGTCCCAAATAAAGCCCCATTACCATCAACGACAATAAATCCGAACTTGCTGTCATCTGCTAGCAGCGCTACTAAGGCCTAAGTTACGTTAGAGTGGTGAAAATCAGCAAACCTCTGTATGGAACTTGTTGTCGCAAAGATATAAAGACGTGTTTACTGGTCTAAATGGTTCGAAATCGATGTTGACCTTTTTCTCTTTACCATCCTCAGTGACTATTGTCCCACAATATACAACAAGGCCATTGGTAGGAACTACAAAAATGAAAAATTACTGATCCCAACCTCTAGTGTATAACTTCAGACGTTGTTGTACAGAGGTTATCGCACTCAGGACGGATAAGCGATTCACACGGCTTTTAATATTAGATGCTGTCCCATACTCCTCGGCTAACAATTTCGCTATCCTAGTAATCTGATCCTTTGGAGGAATGATGAGCGAAATCATACTCGTCCCATTACTGATATGTGAAATGACTGGTCATAAATCACTTACCCTCTAGCAGACTCCAAACTTTTGATCAACTTTTTGATCCGCCACATTTCTACATTCTTATCAGCTTGAGATATCTCCGTACTGCCGTTTGTTGAAGCCATCGCCACGAGTTTAGGAGGACGAAGTGAGAACTATAAAGCGTGGTTATTTTAAAGCAAATGACTAAAACAAACTTTAATATACGGTTCCAACCGTCATATTATAATTTTACAGATATCAGTAATACTTAAACAAGAGCTTTTACAGAACAAAAAAATACACGTAGAGATTTATTATTAAATCAGTATGTTATCATATTTCCATATAACACTCTCAAACTTGAATATGTTACGTGGTGGAAAAGTGAGTGACTGAGAAACCTGTAATAGCATTGATAGTGGTGATCAGCGAAATGATTGGACCTTATTTTATATGCACTTACATAAAAATAAGGTACTCCTGGGTAAGAAACAGTTTTTCTCGTTCACAACTCTAGGTATAATTCTGGAGTAAGCTTGGAAATATATTGTTCCAATTCCACGAACTATTTTTGTGTTCTCATATTAACGTCGCTACGAAAGACAATAAAAATGAAGTCAAGTAAGATCCGAAATCACTATTAAGAGATCTCAAGCCTTACAAGCGCGCTTTTCGAACGGGAAGTTTAGTCCTAACGTGATTTGCATATATCAAACTTTTGCTGTGTTCTTACGCAACAAAAGTACCATTTCAGTTCTAAAGAATCTATCCTGAGCTATACGTTCGGTAGATTACTTTTTTTAGTTTCACTATATTTAATAGTTACCTGTGGTTTTGCCTCAGCATACTATTCGGTTTTTTTTTGTTTTTCACGTATAGACTAGTTTCAGTTTATATCACTCGTTTTGTCCATTTTTGTCCGCTTTTAGTGTGCTTTTTAGTGTTTTTTAAAAAGGTCTTAGGCTCTTGCAAGCATCTATAACATAGTTTGCTTCAACACCGTCATGAAAAACTCATGCAAACGTCCGGGATGCCGTTTTGCTGTCACAACTGGCATGCAGTGCGACAACTGCAAAGGTTGGTTCCACGAAGCATGCACAAATCTGACAGCAACTGCTTACAACAGACTCAGCAAGTCAGACCAAAAGTGGGTATGTGTCACGTGCAGCACGGACGCAGTAGTCTTGCTGAGTAACATCATTGTCCTACTGACAGGTCTTCGGAACAAGCTGTCAGTTAACTTGGAATACGATAGTAAAAAAACCGATATACAAACAAGAGCGTGCAACGGACTCAAAAATAGGGATGTCGATAGGTATACCATCGATGGAGCATCCATCAACACTAATGACGACGTGTCGAGGCTCAGTACCATCATTACGTCGACGGTACTAGACTCCCTAGGCAAACTCGGGTCTCCCAGCTCAGGGCCCCTGAACACAACAGTGGTTCCCAAAAATCCTGCAGGCGATTCGACCCACGTTAAGAGAGCCCAAAAGAACCAGGCATCACTGCCTATGCCGAGCAACCCAAGTGTTGCTGCACGGAAAATAACTGGTGATTTAGTCGCAGTCTACCCCCAAGACTGTTCGTCCGGTCAATAAAGAGCCCAAGATTCATAAACGCACACTGACCTCCAAACAACAAGTTATTAAACCTGAACCCATCGTGAAACCTGGTAAATTAACAACAGTTCGTGACGATTCTCTCATTATCATGAACCTCGTTGACAATCCTGACTTTCCTCTCAGTCTGCAGGACAAAAACGACAGGATGCTGTGGAGTGAATTGAACAAGAAGCTCGAACTTCCTAGAATAGAGCCTTTGACGGTCACCCGGCTCACTCGAGGAAAGGATTCTAAGCATCTAAATCACCCGAGGCTTCTCCGAGTAACACTTAAGAATGCTACCGACGTAGAGGACGTCTTGCTAGCAAGTCACTTACTGAACTCAGATGGTAACGTAAGAATATTGCCCGACATACCGTACTCTGAGCGCAATATCATACGAAACGTCCCTAAAGAATCTCGCGAGAAGTTTTTCCGCGGAGGAAACATAATTGTGCAAGGTATACCGGAAAATGCAGACCCTACTCAATCAAATTCTGACATCAGGGAATGGAAATTCATCAAACAGTCCTTGAGGCTCAAACACATACTGACTCAGCATGTGACGAGACTAGCCAAGAAGGACGGTGATCTTAGACCCCGTCTAATGAAGATAACCTTCCCATCTTCCCACATGGCGGCTGCAGTTCTGGAAGCATTTCGTGCTAATAGACGTCGATTGCCACCTGGAATCCACATGCACCCGGATAGGCCATACGAAGTTAGGACCAAGAACAAAGGCAAGTTGGAGCTGACCATTCCACTTGTGGACTGTCTAAACGATAAAAAAACGTGTAAAGGACAGGGCCTACCACCTCGGCAAGCCTCATATAGGTGGGCTACCTGTCCATTCACATAAGGTTCATACAGAAAAACAGGACGAAGCTCACGCGTTCCAAATTGAAAGCATAAACTGCTTATATATGAACGCCGCGAGTCTACCAAACAAACTGGATGAACTACGTGAACTTAGCAACGCTAATAAGGCCCATCTGATAGGAATATCTGAAACCTGGATATCTTCTCAGTTCTCGGACCAAGAGTTAGCATTACCTGGGATGACTTTGTTCCGCAACGACAGAAAAACAGGAATTGGGGGCGGAGTAGCCATATACATAAGCTCTTGCTTGGAGGTGCACCAGGTTCACAACCTCGAGTTTAACAATCTTGAGGAATCCATATGGTGCTCTGTAAGATTGTCTAGTACTTCCAGGTGTCTAGTCGGAGTCATTTACAGGAAGCCAACTGCCGACACCGAGTACGATAGTCCTATGCTGGATGGACTATCCCGCTCTATCCGTCTCGGTCTCACACACATCCTGATTCTAGGGGACTTTAATCTCCCTAGAGTCAACTTCGCGGAACACACGTACACTGGAGGCGACAACTCAACTGAAGCTCGGTTCTTCAACCTCATCGATAACTTGGGCTTATATGAAAATGTGAGGTCGGCAACTCGTTGGAGAAACAGTCAGACACCATCGCGCTTAGACTGTGTATTCACTAACGAAGAATTCCTAGTCGACAACCTCTCAATCCTGGCTCCTCTGGGAAAGAGCGATCATGCCGTCATAGCCTTCAGTTTTGTCATCAAAACTAAGCTAAGGTATCCCAACAATAATTTGCGTTGGAATTTTAAACGGCTGAATGTGCCAGCTCTACATGACTATCTACAACAGGTGGTTTGGGATGTTCACCCTCAACTCGATGTGGATGGTCATTGGGACTTCTTGCTGCACACGCTCTTATGTGCTACAGACCATTCAGTTCCTCAAACGGTTCCCAAAAGCTGCAAGCCACCTACAGTAATCAAGAACCGTACCCTTCGCCTGCTAAGCCGCAAAAGGCACTGTTGGGCAGAATACAAAGGAACTAATAACGATGGAGCGTATAGGCAATATAAACATATCAGGAACATATGCACGAAGGCTATAAGAGAAGACAGGCTTCAGTACCAAACAAAGCTTATGGACAAATTCGCCTCTAACCCTAGAAGCCTATTCCGTTATGCAGCCTCTCTTCGTCAAGCCAAAACAGGAGTTTCTCAACTGCTAGGTCTTAACGGCCCGACCAACAATGATGGCGACGCCGCTAACCTTCTGGCGGCACATTACTCTCAAACATTTCAACCGGCTGACATCAACTTTATTGACGACAGTTTCATCTGCAATTCCACAGGACTTTCTGAAGTGGACCTAAGCGCTGACTTGGTGTTCTGGAAATTGCAGCACTTAAGACTTGACACTTCTCCTGACCCGGATATGGTTCATCCTGCCATACTGAGGGAGGCAGCCCCAATCCTGGCAACGCCACTTAGCGTGATGTTTTCACACTCGCTTAGCCGAGGCAAATTACCGGAAAATTGGAAGTTGGCTCACATCACACCAATTTTCAAAGGTGGTCGACGCAATGAACCTTCAAGTTATCGGCCGGTGGCTCTTCTGTCATTACCTTCAAAACTCATGGAGTCCCTGATATGCGACGGTTTAAATGACTATCTACTGTCCTTAAATTTCTTCTCACCCCAACAGCATGGTTTCAGGAAGGGTTACTCTTGTATAACCAACCTGCTGACTGCGGTGGACAGATGGACAAGCATCCTCGATCGCAAGGGAAAGGTTGATATCAGTTACCTTGATTCCTCAAAAGCTTTTGATAAGGTTAACCACTTCTGTCTTATCAATAAGCTCAAACGACTGGGTATCAAACCACCTCTAATCGATTGGCTTACTTCATACCTAAAAAATCGACACTTTAAGGTTAGGGTTAATTTCACTTTATCTCAGGCTATGGAATGTCCTAGCGGGATCCCCCAGGGCTCAGTACTAGGGCCTCTTCTCTTCTTGATCTACATAAATGATCTTCCTCAACAGGTAACGTCAGACTTATAACTTCTTGCCGACGACGTGAAACTTTGGGGAGAGATACGCAACCAAGACGATATACAGGCACTTCAGGAGGATCTGACTCGACTTCAAAGTTGGGCAGACGATAATGGACATACCTTTAACACTCCAAAGTGTGAAGTAGTCCATCGGCGACATGTCGCAAACTACAGTTACAACTTAGGAAACTCCTCTCTTGTAGTATCCCAAGTCGAAAAGGATTTAAGAGTCCTGGTGCCCCATGACTTAAAGTCTTACGCTAACTGTGACAAAAATGCCTTCCGAGCAAACCTTGCACTGGTAACGTTGAGGCGCATTTTTGGACAGTTTGACGGAAGAACTTTCCATATAATCTTCAATAGTTTCATCCGTCCCCATTTAGAGTACGGAAACATAGTATTTCCCCCCTCATTCCAAAAGGATAAGGACACCCTGGAGCGTATCCAACGGCGAGGCACGAAATCAGTTCGAGGACTCAAATTTAAACCTTACGAAGAGCGCCTCCATTCACTTACCCATTAGAGTATAGACGTCTTAGAGGTGGCCTTTTGATGGCTTATAGTATCCTTAACACTTCTGGACATCCTCTTAAACACCTACTTAAGCTTAGTTCCAACACTAACCTAAGGGGTAACACCCAGAAACTGGAGACACAACATAGCAAAACGGAATGTAGGCACAACTTCTACTCCTTAAGAGTTGTCACAAGCTGGAATTCGCTGCCGGCCGAGCTAGTCCAATCGACTTCTCAGGAGTCCTTCAAGAGGCAACTTGACCTATTCTTAAGAACCAAGGACAGCATCACACTATGATTTACCAATTTCTTTTCCTCTTTTATTGTTAACATACCTAGGTTCCTGCCTGGAGGATTTGGTGATCCCCTGCTACTAGACACGGAAGCCTGTTATGCGAAAGCTTCTTCTATTCCGTCCACAACCATTTGAACCATTTGAACCATTTAATCAAGCTGCATATATGATAAGAGATTTAGATTTGATTTAATCTAGCTTAATGGTATAGTGTAGGGTCAGGGTAACATCAATGAGTCCTAGAAAATTCATCGCTTGGGCTAAATCATGTCAAATTTAGACAACTGATCAATAATTTATAGTTAGTTTGTGGAACATGGTCGTATTCTATGATAACTAACGTGGGTCTTACGCTATGGGATACCTCATGCGAGTTATCGCAATGTGTTGGAGACCTATTCCTACATGTATTATACAATGACCAAATACTTGTACTATATGCCATCGTGTGTCGCACAACAGGATTATCTACACTGAGTATTAACCGCGAGATGTGACACTGACAAGCTGGATCACACCGATTCCCGTCAGACTTCAGTACATCGCGATCATTCACGTAGATCACTTACATCGGTGATCTGTAGGAGCCTAGAGACCCAGACGATTAGGCAGACGTTTTAGAACCATTCTCAGGAGTCTGTTAATTGCCTTATTCAGGATTAATCTGGTTGACAATCATGTACGCACGACCACAACATTAAAAAGAATATCCCAAAATAAACAGTTCCGTAGGCGTTCGACACTGATGCTGACCCCATTAGTTCCATCATGCACACCTTGGCTGAAGGCACTCGGTCAAGCGTCCGCACCGAACCACCACTGAGTACTCTGTTCTACATGTCTCATGAGATGACTGGTCAGCTTGTCTCAAATGCTGTCCAACACACCGACTAACTTCTGAATGTACCTCGAATTCGTACAGTCCTGACCTCTGATTTGGCCATGTTTGTATCTTTCGATTACAAAAGCGTCACAGTCACCAGCGTTATCAAGTCATTAATAATCGCGACATCTTTTTAAGTGTGTCCAGCTTTATTTGGTAAACCAAGTGATGAATTGAGTCTGTTCCTTGTTGTAATATCAAATACATATATTTGTTTAACATGTAAAACTATCAATTTGGTGTCCTCATATCTTTGGGGTGTTTATATATACATATAATTATATCATATTTGCTGTATGAACACAGTAAAACCGTTCAAGACTAAGATTTTCGTGCCAACCACTTTCCAACTCATTCCAATGTGGCCTGATAATATTTAATCTTTTTCCTGCAACGCAGAGGCTGACTTCCACGGACACAGCTTGAAGGTCTACCCGGCAAGTTCCTCGCAGCGGCGATGGCATTGTCACGTGACTTGAGACAAGTACGTTACACTTAATATGCTTACTAGTTATGTTTCCGAAGCTTGTTATACATCAACAAAGGTTACCTCTGAGCCTGGAGACCTAACTGATCGACAAAGGCAAGACCGTTTATTCCACAACATCGAATGGCAATATGGCTCAGCAACAGATGTGTTGATACGTATGTGAGGGTTATTGGTGAACAAACTCTTGACGAGGGCCCCTTTAAACAACAATTCCTGTCCAAGCTTATCCGAAATGTCAAAGTGGTTCTCGTTTGCTCCGAGAAAAACTGGCTGCATCTATCGGTTGGAATGTGTAGATCACCAGTACCCCCAACATCAGGTTTACTCTGTCAAATAATAACGTCAAGCGACTGAAGAACGAAATCACATATCTCTGAACTACTCCCACTCATAGTCCTCACATCCATCATAATCTACTCACTGATACTCAGAAACAGAGGTTAGTAAACGGAAACACTAATTCGTTTATTTGCGTAACTTCATTTCCTGGTGAAGACTGTCCCTCGTCACAGAAAGGCGTATAACCGATCCACACTATTAAAAATACACGGTACGAACGACGAGATATAGCAAACGCAACCGAAATTCCCATGTGTAACCAGAAATGTTTCACATCACAAATACAAGACTGCCAGTATTCTCGAAAGCTCACCAATTAGTTCCCGAAAAGCTGAGCTTGGCAAAAAACGAATTCGACCGTGGTGTGAACAGAGAAACACGAAGCCTTGACAAAATACGGAAGCTATTTTTCAGGACGTTATTTCAGTTAGTTTAAAGCTTGTAAAACACTAACACCTAATTTTGTCCCTAGTCTATTCTGCAGAACATAAGCTTTCGTTTGATGTATGATTCACTGCCATAGCCCTTTTTGTTCCAAAGCTATTGTAATTTGGACTTATTATTTTGTACACTATTCTCTACGCTAATTCTCAGTTCTGGACATAGTTGTATTTTCCTAACTATTGTACGTTGTGGTCAGGTTAGTCATCTATTTAATCATGTATCTTTTTACACTGGTCTGAAATCGGCAAATCGGGAGCCTGATCGGAATTGAGAATAAATCGAGTAGTGTTCCAGTTGACATGTCTTCTCTCGCACGCGTGCTTGTCAGCCAATCAGGTGATATGATAGTTTTCTTCTCTCTACCCCACTTTGAACTCACGCGCACTAGCCTCGAGGTTAACCCACTCAGTCCATCGCGTCAAGGTCTTAATCTAGATTAGACTAGTTATCCTCAGCATCAAAAGTGGGTAGACAGATCACGGACGTAACAGACCACATGATAGTCTTATGAAATATCCGACCATCAAACAGTCCCTAAAAGGACAGCAATGATTGGCGTCCAACTGGTGACTATCGGTGACTGAATGCGAAAACCATCCCTGATCGTTGATGTAGTGGCGGACATCTTGTCTCTTATAATTTCCTTGAACAATTTCTAACGAATCGACCTTCTTGAACTCGCTCAGCTTCAAGAAGACACTGATATTCAGAACGAGTTATCTTTAATAACTCTGAGACTACAAAGTAGACAGATAGTAACAGGTAAGGAAACTTGAATGTGTGACATGTCAACAGGTAAGGATTGTCCAATCGTGCCGAAACACTATTGACTCAGTGTCTTCAATACGCTTCACAAATTTTCTCACTTAGGTGTCGGGGCAGCCATCCGGCTCATGACAGGTCGATTTCACTGACCGGGTGTAATTGAAAACGTGGGAAAGTGGACATGCTCCTGTGTAAGCTGGGAGAAATTTAAGGTGACTGGACACAAAAAACGTCCCCTAGGCTGTTTTGCAGCTCTTGATGTTCGTTTCGACCGTCTTCATCAAGACTAGGTGGAACCCTGGCCATGTTCAAATGGATAATCTTATCTCCAGACACGTGTGGAATGTTTCACACAATGGCTAGGAGCGGTATTTATCAGGGACGTTACTGATGAAAAACGGTGCTCGGTGTTCTCATATGCTTGTAGAATGTACGTATGCGTTGATATTATTGCATCTATCTGTGCTACTAGACTAATAGACCTAACCTAACACTGAATTTGCTATGATATACCTATCTAACTTAAAAAGCTTTACATAGAGGGCACCTCTTCATCTGTACCCAACCATCTTTTCGTGATAGTCAGTATAGCTTTTACGAACATTTAAGGAACATATTTGGGCTAGAGTTAAAATATGTTCATTACGATTTTGTTCGATTTTGTTCACGCACTCATCTATTTTGACATTTTCCAAGTGTCAAACGTGAAATGTAAGACTTCCCGGTAGTTGTGTGCTCTACTTCAAGGGCCGTGTGATTGGGGCTCAATGCTGCTACAAATCCTTTATCTTCTGCAGTGCATGTAAATCTTAATTCCCGCACGAGCAGACTCACAAACGCGGTGGGTTCAGTCAGACCTACGTGCGCTTGACCGCAATCAGCTAGTGTGTTTGTTCTCCCTGTTTAACGACTTAATACTCACGTTTTCGTAGGTCGCGACTAAAAATGTTGACCCCCAGAAGCTGAATACTAAGGACCCTACTAAGTCCTTAATCACGAAACTAAGTTATCTTCCTTATTTATTTTGTTAGTAATTTGACGATACGTACATAGTCGTTTTTTCCTTGTTCCGTGTTCACAAACACACCTGTTAAACTATTTGCGTATTTCACGTCTCCCTTATTTCCATTCCCTCATTTTCTCCATTTCCTTCTTTAAAGTCCACTCAATATTCTTATCAATTATACAGAACCTGACTTGTTATTATTATTCTTTTGTCATTATTATATTTTTTCCTTTTTTTAAATATGGCAAATATAATGCTGACATTATTGAAACTTGTGTATTATTGCATTTTTGAAGAATCTCGAAATGGTTTCTTCCCAACACTTCTTTACCCATAAGATGTTTGTGAATGATAATAATAATAATAATAATGATAATAATAATAATAATAATAAAGAAACGGTCACGATCGACTTGCTAGAAGCCTCTTTCTTAGAAGTAAACCCCATTAATGTTGACAGTCTCACCACACAATCGGACCAAAAAGTCCTCGAAACTAAGACGCAATTCATGGTAGATAACGATCAAGACACAACTTTGCAAGTATCTAAGAATAGAACGACGCGTTCTGGAAGAACGTTGGGGTTTCCAGAACATTTGACTGACTTTTGCATGTTGGAAACTTCACAAGCCTGACCTTTCACACCATGTTCTCTGTGTTTACAGTTATTTAGCTGCACTTTTAATTTACGCTGTACCCAACAACAGACGGAAATGCTTTATCTTTTTCGATCATATATATGTTTTTATTTATTTTTTACCAAATATCCTGTAAACACCCTTATGTGTATATTATTTCTCGATATCTCATGGTTTACACAGGCATAAATAACTTTCTTTTCGCACGATTTTTTTTGTCTGCGTAAGTGCAAGTGCATTTAGACATTCAGTTTCGTTATCATTTCTTTATTTTCTGCGACAGGTTGAAAAGTCAGAAAACCGCAGATGAATGACATGTGTTGGATTTATGATTGTGCACTTATCATTATAATTACTACATACGTCATCGATCCATGGAGTAGAAAATGACTTTAAGACGTTCCTAGACGTAGCTACGCGTCTCATGGGATGACTGATCAGCTTGGCTCAAATGCTTCCCAACACACTGACTATCTTCTGAATGTACCTCGAATTCTTTCATTCCTGACTTCTGATATGGCCATATTTGTATCTTTCGATAACAAACGTTTCACGGTCAGCAGCGTTGTCAAACACTGAGTATCCGTGACACATTTAGATTGCTTTGGCATGAACACGACCTATTAACCATTCTTTCTAATATACAGTGCTCCATAAGTCTTTTATCATTTTTTGTTGTGAATACACTTTGTGATGAGTTCGAGATCAAGGAAATAAGCAACTGAGATCTAAACCATGTACTACATCCATTATTTAGGAAATTTAAGTATTTCTTGTCTTTAAAAATATCTCATGTATTAATGAGGTTATATAACGTAAGTGACACCATATCAGTATGAATTTGACTTCGTATCTACGACTATAGTCCACTTTAATTCCTTCTCATCTCTCAATCCGAGTTACGAGTAAGAATAATCTACACTCCCATTTGAAATTTCGACCAACTAAAGTGAAGCGGTTATCATTAGATACGCTATCACAATTCATGATGAAAGGCGCTTTTCGATATTTGTCACTCCCGCTGGATTACACGAAAAACATGAAGATTTTATTTCGAGAGTAAAAAGATTCTACAGGTGTTCAGATTTTGGCGACACCTTAACACGCAGCAAAATTATGATCAAAATACACCGACCTAGTCAAATCAGAATTCAGAAATAAAGAGGTTCGAAAATATATTTTAAAGTCTATCGATATACAGGGAAGTGTTAAATCTAAGCTGGCTAATAGTTTTAAGAAATATATTTAGAACGGAAGACCTACTCCTGATCTTGTGCGTCTGCGTGATCGAGCGCCTTCAGTTCGGTGTGTCTATTAAAGCCAGTGAGGTAAGCATGAATGTCTAAAAATTACAGGACCATTTATTTTGCAGATTTATTTACCACCACAAATACTGTCCTACCATGCTACGAACGTGTCAAGTGTATGGCAGTCAGCAATGATGAAAAACACAGCAAAAGTCATACCTCTAATCAATTCTTCATTATAAACTACCTCATTATACCTAAAAGTGAGTGACAAAGTATACATAAGCGTAATTACTAGCTAAGATACGTGATACAACTACAACTTTAGCAAGTACCCTCCAGAGGTATACCAAGTTGAAAAAGATTTAGGAGTCCTGGTACATTACGATTTGAAGTCTTACGCTAACAGTGACAAAAATACCTTTCGAGCAAACCTTGCACTGGTAACATTGAAGCGCATGTTTGGCCAGTTTGACAGGACTTTCCACATAATCTTCAACAGTTTCATTCGTCCCCATTTAGAGTGCGGAAACATAGTATTACCTCCGTCACTCCAAAAGGATAAGGACACTTTGGAGCTTATCCAACGGCGAGCCACGATATCAGTCCGGGGACCCTCATTCAAGCATTAAGAACAGAGCCTCCAATGACTGAACCGTTACCCATCAGAGTTAAGGCGTCTTAGATGTGACCTTCTAGTGGCTTATAGTATCCTAAACATTTCTAGACATCTCCTTATAAAACCCAATTAAGCTTAGCTCCAAAAAACCCAAGCGGAACTAAAGAGCTCCTTTCAAAAAGAGCAGTGATTTTCGTACTTGTCGTGATTATCCTTGCTTTGTGTACTTGTTGCACCAAAAAGCACTCTTGGCCGATTTTAACTAAAAGTACTTTGGTTAAGGTTTGAAATTTTTGTTAAACTTTGTCCTGTGGAACTTTTTTTACTCATTGACTGACACTCGTGTTCACATTGTGACCATATTGTGTCTTAAACCTTTTTAATCAAAACACTATGGTTAGTAAGACTTATAAATGTGGACAACCAAACTGCTTGTTCCCCGTTGAGGAAGGAATGCAGTGCGATGAATGTAAAAAGTGGCACCATGAGATGTGTACACGTCCAAGTCCTACGGCATACAAAAGATACTCGAAGCCTAACTCGTGTTGGCTTTGTATGCTTTGCTGTGCAAATAAGAAGTTACTAATTAAGGAGGCTATGAGCCTATTGGCTTTGGCCTGTAAGAGGAACGATGGTGGTTGCGCTGGCAACATGAGCACTGACGGTGAAGAATGTGCCAGTGTAGTACGTGCCGCTACCGGACCCGCTAAACACCCGACTGTGATTGGCGAGAAGGTGAAATCTCCGTTAACATCAACGAGGAGTGAAGTGCCGCTTGATATTGACATCGGTAATCATACACCTCTAGTGGAAATTGAAGACCAGGATAAAACTGTCACTGTTCCAAATAGTCCCGGTGTGGCTGTCCTGAGTGATGATAAATGAACTTCAGTACGGAGAAAAAGAAATGAGAAAAGAGCTGTAAGCAAAACGCAGCTGGTTAGCAAGTCATTGAAAGAGACAGTAACAGAAACAAAAACTCCACTACGTGTCAAGACAGATCTCTCTGAGAGGTCAGCCATTTTTCGTAAGTTAAGAGAATCTCCCGATTAAGAACCAAAGGCTAGATTTGAACATAATCTCAGTCATATTAAGTCCTTAATAAGCAAACTACTTCCAGATACAGTTTCAGGAGTTAGTATTTGTAAGCTTCATAGAATACGACAAAAGGTGGAGTCTGAAAGTCCTCAGAAAAACCGCCTCTTGAAGGCTACATTCAACACGGTGGAAGAAAGGAACCTGATTCTAGTAACTCACGTAAACTGATTGGATCCGGAGTATGCGTCCGTGAGGATCTCAGCCTAGCTGATCGTATTAAGAGACGAGGTGTGGAAGCGGAAATAAATGAGCGTCGCCGAAACGGTGAAAGAAACCTCGTTCTTAAGGGTTTTCAAATTGCAAAAGTTCGGAGCAAAACGATCCCCAAGCCACTCTGGGTGGCAAGGGAAAGTTCTCCACAGACTTAAAGGTTTGCTACACAAATGCTCACAGCCTACTAAATCAAATGGCGGAGTTCAAGTCAATGGTAGATAAAGAAAAACCAGATGTTATTGCTGTCTCGGAAACTTCGGTAACGTCAGAAGTATTAGATAATGAAATTCAGTTGACTGGTTTCTTAACCAGTACGGCTGATAGATTAAACTGTAGGGGAGGCGGGGTTATCCTGTACACGAAAAGTTCGCTAACCATAAGAATAGCTGAGACTGTGACACATGTTTCAGGGACATGTGAACTGGTGAGATGTAAGTTGAAATGCCGAAGGCAAGATATTGAATTAGTTGTAGTATATCGCAGTCCAGAATGTGTAGCAGATGATTTTCTCCTCAGAAAACTTAAATCCTGGTGTAACAAGAGTAAAAGCCTCGTAGTAGGCGACTTTGATGCACCGTATGTAAACTGGGTTAACTTAGAAGTAGGGTCATTGATAACGTCGTTCGACTGCCAACTGTTAGACACCTCGATTGGATTAGCTGTATTCCAACACATTAGAAATCCCACGAGATATGACCTGAGAAACTCTTCTTTTCTTTTAGATTTAGTCTTCACACACGGTGATGACGTTGGTCAAATGGCTTTTCTCCCACCATTAGGGAGAAGTAACCATGCAGTCATCTTATTCAAATTCATGACTGAGATTGCCTGTCAAACAGTTGCGCCGGCCCGTCCTAATATACGGAAGGCAGATATGGAGGCAATCAACTCCGCAGCATCGGCTGAAATCTGGGAAATTGACTCAAAGGCATCAGTACAAGAGGCATGGACTCTTTTCAGGCAGTTATACAATCGGGTAACTCAACCATACATACCCTGGACTGTCCCAAAGAAAACGAAGCGCGGATATCCATGGATAGGGCGGGATATTCGACGTTTACTGAGACAAAAGAAGGAATGTTGGGATGTTGCCATCCGCCTTGGCACAGCAAGTACTATGGAACACTACAGATCGATAAGAAACGAGTGTATAACGGAAATTCGAGAAGTTCAAAGAAAATATGAAATGCAGTTGGCATAATCTGCACTCAAGCAGCCCAAGAGAATATTCTCGCACATAAATTACAGAACAAGGATGCATCACTGGATTCCCAACCTAATTAAAGTAGGAAGTAAATCTGAAATGATATAGGAAGATCAGGAAAAAGCAGAAGCTATGGCTGACTATTTGGGGCAGTTTTCACTCAGGAACCCACTCTAGACAAAGTACCAAACCAAAACAGAGTCAACAAACCACATGCTCGTCGTTGACTTCGATCAAGACGATGTGCTTATGGCTCTTAGCACCTTAAACATGGAAAAGCCGACAGGACCAGATGAACTACACCCCAAAATTTTGAGATATATTGCATAATATATCGCGGCCCCACTGACTGTGATATTCAATATGTCACTTGACCAAGGTGTGTTACCTATGGACTGAAAGGACTCAATCGTCACCCCCACACATAAAACAGGACCAAGACAAGTTTAATCGAACCACAAACCTGTAAGTCTGACCAGTGTTGTAGTTAAAATGTTGGAATGGATAGTCAAACGGACAATAATGGCATTTATGGAAACCAATAACTTGCTAAACATAGAACAACGTGGTTTTAGAAAGGGTCTGTCTCGTGCAGCGAACCTCCTTATAGCAAGGGAGTTTTGGATAAAGGCGCTAGACAACGGAAATTCAGTGGATGTTGTCTACATAGACTTCAGTAAGGCTTTTGACAAGGTGCCGACTAATAGACTGCTATCGAAGTTGGAAAACCCTGGTATTGCCGGACCTCTTTTAAAATGGATTAAGGATTTCCTAGTAGGTCGTAAACAGAAAGTAAGAATAAATTCCAAGTTCTCCATTTTGAGACCAGTACTTAGTGGATTACCTCAAGGTTCCGTCCTAGGTCCTTTAATTTTTATAATGTATGTTAATGATCTCTCAAGTATAGTACAGTCTCAAATGTTATTATACGCTGACAACGTAAAGATCTGTCGAGTAATAACTGAAGGCTTAGACGCAGGTGCTCTTCAGGCAGACTTAAATAATATGATTAACTGGTCTAAAGAGTGGCTGACGCCTATAAACGCGGCAAAGTGTGTCTACATGCACGTTGGGGATTAAAAGGTTAATAGGCACAACATAGGGGAAGTGCTATTGTAGTGGCATTGGAGCATAATCACACAATCCTCAAAGCTGAACACGAGACTACTCGGAAGATAGATATTCAATATTTAACGCCGAGAAATACCTAACGATGGAGAAGGCGCTAACAAAGAATCGAATGAATTGAAGTTAATCGGATGGCATGGCTCAGCCATGCAGGCGTGGTCCCTCTGAATATTACCTTATATCTTCTATTCATATTAAATATATTGTTCCTTCTCTAGACTAACCTTGTTCTACATCATGTATTGGTAATTGATACGAAACAGTGAGTTGGTGTAGACGATGATGTGACTTCCACGTAAGATCTTATAGATTAGGCAGTTATATCATGACAAATCTACAATTTTAGGATTAGGTCTATTATTAGAGCAGTACTAATATCATAGAAGACGATAATTCTACACTATTACCCGTGGTCGGGTCTCATAAGGATCTAGGGATGACAGTGATCCATGATCTTAAGACGACGGCCCATTGCCGGGAGGTAAGCGCTAAAGGGTTTCGAACCCTCTAGGCTTTAAAAAGGACATTCGCCAAGTTAGATATTGCCATGTTCACCACAGTATACACATCCTTAATGAGAACTAAGCTTGAGAACTGCGTTCAGGCTGCAAGCCCCTGTCTAAAAGGTGACTCGGATATCCTTGAAAAAGTACAGAAGGCAGCTACCCGTGCAATTCCAGTACTCCGGGGTTTACCATACAAAGGGCGGCTTGAAAAGCTGAACCCCTTTACTCCGTTCTATCTCAGATTAAGGAGAGATCTAATTTTGATGTACAGAATACTGAGAAATGATTTTGAACCTAACTTATTCTCTCTCCTTCTTCCCACTAGATCGGGACACCTCAGAGGACATAGCAGGCGAGCAGAAAAGCCATGAACGAGCAAACTACCCATGGCATACAGGTTTTTACACCGTGTCATCAATACTTGGAACCTGCTGCTTGAAGCAGTGGTGTCCGCACCTTCAATAGACTCATTCAAGAGAAGACTGGACACTCACAGAAGCATGCTAGAAAAGGAATAACATAGGTCGTAGGCCTTCTGTCTGTACTACACAAATGTAAATCCGAAAACGCCCAGAACTGGAAATACCATAGCAGAACGGACTGTATACATACCTTCTACTCCTTAAGAGTTGTCAAATGCTGGAACTCGCTGCAGGCTGAGCTAGTCCAAACGACTTCCCAAGAGCCCTTAAAGAGGAAACTTGACATATTCTTGAGGGCTAAGGATAGTATGTTGCCATGATCTACGAACATTTTTTTCTTTTCGTCTTTTATCCATAAAATACCTAGGATCCTGCCTGGAGGTGTCGTTGATCCACTGCTACTAGATACAGAAGCACGTTAAGAGTAAGTTTCTACTATTCCATCCAAAAGCATTTGAACCATTCAAATAACCTAATAAAGCTCTCTGAGATAAGATCATGTGTAGTATCTGAACTATTTACCCTCACCCGGCGGTGGAAGATAAATCAATGCGGTGACAAGGTCATAAAGTGGTGCGTTGCTCAAACAGTGCTCAGCTTAAGGGTTTCCATAATCTTATGGGACAAACGAAAATCGTCCATAAATTATAGTCTCACCCAATTTTTCTCCTACAAACCTCTGAGTAAGATGGAATACTTTCCTGTCAGTGTTGTGAATTGTCAAAAAACCTTTCACCTGACAAGATCAAATGATACCTTTAGGTCAAGAATATAAGCGAAGCCAGACAACAGCAAAAAATCGTTTTATAACACGATAAAGAATAAAAGTCTGGACCACACTCAGACCATAAATGTATTTTTGATTTCCTGGGATTTGCTATTCTACAGCAAATAATTGGTTATAGCAGATAGCGTCTCGGGCATTAGTTTATTTAAGCTCATTTTTTAGTGGTTATCACAAGACGAAATTTCTTGTACTAATTAAAATAAACAGCAGTTTTAAGACCGTCTATTCTCCATACTTTCAATCATGCTGCAACCAGTGCAACTGACAAGCTGCTATCACCAATTCGAAATATCTGAACGGTCGGCCTACCAATGGCTGTCGCACTTACCCCACTCCTCAAGGTCTTTATAGCTGATACATCGGAGTACTCAGAAATCAGCAAAATAATAATTGCGTGTAATCACACAAGAAATAGCCTTCATCTCTAATTGGTAAGGTATAATGTGCACACACATGGTCTAGTTATTAAGCTTCCTTCTTATTCAAACTTTTCACTCAAGCAGCCGGTTGTGCGAGTTTATAGTAAGACTTTGTATCAATAACGACAGGTAAGTCACATTACCAAAAAATTGTTGAGACAGCAAGCTCACGAACAGAGAAATCTGATGTAGCCATTACTCGTTCTCAATAAGAAGGTTGACAGGAATTCCTACAAAGCAAATGTCAATCGCCCCCCACTGCACGCACAAACTTTGTGACGCTCCGAAGTCCAACCATTGAACTAGACCTCGCGTACTCCTATGGTTGTATTATCGGTCCGGTTATCACCTGGGGCAATCTAGGGGGAAATAAATAACAAACATGGAGTCAGAGATCGGATAAACATATTTAGTGCTTGGATGTTAGTGTCTCACCAATTCTCATAAATATAGTTTTAAGTGGAATAAACCTATTTTCGGTACACAGTAACTGTATTGATAGGATCCAAATTAATACAATTAGGGTCACCGTTGTAATTCACCGATACTCTGCCATGTAAATCTGTATCAGCATCATTGAAACCACTTTAGTACTTAAATTCAGCTAAAATAAGTCAGTGTATCTACATAAATCTACAATCTTTCGGAAGCCCAATTGGTAACGTTTTTATCGTCTGAATGAGACGAAATGCACTTTTAGGTCCAGGGTGTGCATAAAGGAAGATCATTTTTAAACATGATAAATGGAACGTGGAATATTTAGTGGACCAGTGTTCACTGCTTCCTCTGCAACATGAAAAACCCGGCTGAAGGAATAGATTTACTACCCCAACCCTTATCGCTGATATATATATATATGTCTCATCGATTAGAAATGAAAGTTATTTCTTGTGTGGTCACATCCACTTATTATTTTGTTAATTTATGATCACTCCGATATATCACCTTTTCGCCCAGAAAACTGGGTCTGACTCATCAGATTTTAGCTTAAGGCTCTGTAATTGGTGGGAGAGTTACATTAATAGCCCTTTCATTTTTGAGAAGTGTTAGTGGTGTGATGTTAATCGTCAGCTGAGACCTAGTGAATGATAGGTGATTGAAGGGTAGCTGGGTTTTTCTTAAATTAACCCACCATGTTCAAATTATTAGGCTTAAAAATGATAATTCTTTTATTTCGTTGAGGTGTTTCTACTCACAAGAAAGTAAAATAGGCAAGCGAACCAGGAAATATTCAAGTTTGCGGTACTATTTTGGTTCAAATGGCAACACTTTAACCGTATGAGTCAGGAAGTGAGATGTAGTAAAGTGTTTATAAATTAGTAGTGTTGAAGATTTATTTCAGGCTGTATATCGACAGCTGGTAAGCCTGAAGTTACAAACTTGACAAAAAACATAAATCAGCGACATAGAACCTCGTCAAATAAATTTAGTTTTATTCGACTATAGGATCTTTCAAAACATTCATAAGTCTTTCTCTTGTGAACTGTGAAAATTAGATTATAAATTCTGGAGAATGCCATTTCTGAAGGGTGGACGTGCTGCGGTGACAAGGACTAAAAAGTACTTAGAAGCTGGACGAATACTTCTGAATGATGGTGTCAAGATTATTGTCATCAATCATGTCCCCGGAGCAGAAATATCACATGGATGTGATGAGTTCATTAAGTGGCATTTACCTCCTTTACAATTCAGAAATCCAAACGTTCAGGTAATCATTTAATTCGCATTTCTAACTCACCAGGTAATTACGTTCAAAAATATGTGTCCGACTCCATTTATTAAAATTTATCTTGAAAAAAACGAAGAACAAGTGGTGAATTGTGCCTTTCGAAAGAATTCCGATATCTATGATCACCTAATTACACTTCTTGGGAAAACTGCTTCATCTGAGAGTTCCTTAGTGAATGATTTGACTACAAAAAACCCATCAAGTTTTGGCACCGAGTAATTTTAAATCTAAAAAATCTAACAATTTCTTATTCAACTGTAGGTTCCCGCGCCAATGTATATGCGAATTATACGGTCAAATGCCTTGCTCGTCTAATATTGGGAAACCGAAGCTATGGCCAAAGTTGGAATATACATTGCCTCCGGTGGATACAGAATGGTTTAAAAACGCGACGGATACTAGTGTTACAAATGATGGATAGTCGCTCAGTGTGCGTACATCTGCAACACATCATTACTCTGTTTCATCTTGTGCCGTTCTTCCTCTTTCTAAAGTATAACATATTTAGTACAATTTCTCAGAACATTGGATTTATTACAAGTTCACGCTATTAAAAATATCTTGTAAGACTATGCAACTATTATCGTTTTAGGCATCTTAGCTATGTAGTTACAAGGACCCAAGCCTAATTTAAATAGATCCAACAAACTAATTCCGACAGAATAATAAGTCTTTCAACAATAAATTAGTTTGACTTCAGTCCTATGAATCCGCTATATTTGAACAACATGGCTTTTAAATCTTCTAGTTCTCATTTTTTATTCGTAAGATTCGCCTACGTATTCTCACACAATTACCATTGTTTGACTTACTATCAATAAATATTTTGTCGATCTTCCTATCAGCTATCATGTAATCCTGTTGTTTTGTGGGGCTAAGTTCTGTCTTGTGTTGCTACCGAATACGTTTTCCCGATCAAATGTCTTTAGCAATTACATTATTATTTATTGGTAAGTAGGAATTTTTAGCAGTCCAATAAAAAGTGGAAACGCATCCCTACACTAATGATAACATTAACATCTACCTGTAAGCTTCAAATAGGACAATTACCAGTACTCCACTTCCAATTAAATCAGTAGCTTAAAGACTGTTCACCAATGTGGTCTCTATGTAACCATTGAGAAGGCTGGTCGATTTAAAAAAATTATATTCTCATCACATACTTTTGTAATTAGTTGTTATTAAATATCTTCTTGATATAAAAGTGAAATGTCAGTTTGCGAAATTGCGCCACTTTACGTATTTGAATCTCAAAGTATGGTTTGGATTCCTCGTATGACGAACAGCCCGAGAATCGCTATAAAGCCTGCACTGACTTCTTAATTGCTTAGCACACGCCATAATTTTGCGTTGGCATCTGAACCACAGGAATAAGTAAACTTAGCAAAGAGAAATTTTGTCTTAGGACTAAATACGTCCTAAGAATGGTACCTCAAGTGATAAATTTGAACAAAATAGAGATTTACAGAATGAAATGAACTTCAAAGCGTATGAGTTGCCTGTTGGAATACACTTATTCGAAGCAAACTCTTAACAACAAGTTTAAGTATTAATAGAGATGCTATGCTATGTGTACTCCTACTGTTAAAACTCTGGATAGGTCAACAACCTCAATGGACCTTTTGTATTTAAATTCACAAAACCACTAAGTATTGTCGCGTCAAATCAAAATAAATTAACCGTCTTTAACATCACTTCTAACGTGTTTGGAACGTATTTCTCTACTAAATACAAACTGTCGCTTCAGAGGCGACCAGCGTAAACTCCTTGACGAATGATACGGGATGAATTAGTTGAGCATGTTGATCACTTTGGAAGCTTCGTCTGCCCTGCAAGTCTGACGAAACCTCAAGACAACTTTCGAGGGCTCGGCCGGTTCTTGCCAACTTGTGGTGCAGACCAGAAGTCTGTTCGGAAAGTGAAAGGACGAGCATACTACGAAGTGTTATGAAGCTTTTCAAATCCTTGTCGTTGACATTCATAACTTATTAGTGTCCCGTCATTAGTGTATTCAAGCACTGATCGTATATTTTGGAACCATCAAGTTCAGGAGTAGAGGATTAGGTAGTCATAGAAAATCGATTGATAATGTAATGAATGTTCATAAGTTGAGATGGTTAGGATATGTATTACGCATGCCAGCCCACCAACTGCATCGACGCGCGATGGCTGGTGTAGATGTTTGGAAGGAGGCGGCTAAATCAAGACGTGGCTTCAGTACACGAAGACACTGACTAATGGATTGAGCCATGTAGTAGGTGCGAGACACTTGGTTAGGATTCGTGTGATCATCGTGACCAATGGTATACAGATCCCAGGTGACAAGGCTCAGGATTATCTACAATGATGCGCGTGTATCCACATTTTGTCTCCTCTCAGACCGTGAGTTTATGGGAAGTACATGTTTCGTTAGAATCAAAATATCATACCATGCGAATCAGAAATACAAATCACACATTCTCCGGGTCTAAGCTCTTTACAAGTCATGAACTTCCCCTCTTAACGTCTTGACGCATCTACCGTTAAGTTTCTGAATCACGTTATAGATTTTGAATCATTACACTGGTCCATATTTTCTTCCAGAATCGCGTTTTCTACACACTTTCTTTCCTATGACCACCAATATTTTAACTACCTCTATTATCCTAAGGTTTTTAGTGAGAATTTCATCTCGCTGTGATGTGTGGTAACTTGAACTAATGTATACAAGTGTCAGGATCTTTGTAACTGTCTTAAGAGATCCGTTTTTGCCCTTCTAAAGCTATCTTCGAATGCTCTTTTAAGAATGTGTTAAGAAGTCAACAAGACGAGAAACAATACCGAAAGTAACAGGGAATCTAAATATGAGAAGTAAAGATTGGAAGGAAAATGTGATTGAAGAAAGAGACTTTAAGATCTATACTTGACTAGGGGTTAAGAGAAAAGTACAAAATGAATATGACTGGGACCGATTTCGCGACGTCAGTCACTAATTACTTCGTAGGTTGTTCAAAACGCAAGAAAGATTGAAGCGCGAGGAGCAGGCTGCGTTTCGTTCCAGTCGATGATGTATTGATCATCTTTCCACCCTCCGCCAAATGTTAGAACACAGTCATAATTATCAAAGGCCAACAATCGTAGTGTTTCTTGATGTTAGGGCTGCCTTCGATTCGTCGGACAAGACTGTTCTCTGGGATTGTTTATTGAAGAAGGGTGTGCCTGAGAAGTTTATTAACATCTTGAGAGCCCTATATAATACAAACACCTCAGGTAGAGTGAGGGCATACAACCACCTCTCTCCACTGTTCCATTCGAGCAGTGGGGTTAGACAGGGCTGCCCAATCTCACCATTCCTCTTCCATTTTGGTACCAATGACGTTCTGAAAACAGCTCTGTAAGCAATGGTGGTGAGGATTTTTTGCCTGGAGAAAGACTTCTCGATTTTAAGTATGCAGGTGATATTGTCTTACTGGGCGACGATACCCAAGCCATGCAATCTATACTTAACCAGGTAGCAATTAGTGCCCGTGAGTATGGTATGTGCTTTGCACCTTTGAAGTGCAAAGTACTTCTACAAGACTGGCAGGATTCTAATCCTGTCAGTCAGTAACAACGTAGAACTTCGTACGTACGTACATCAGTTCGAGTTGCCACACCACATTAGCACAGAGATGCAGTTGTCGATTCAAATCCCGTAGTGGTAGAGGTAATAAGAGTATAAGCAGTAATCGGGAAGATTAAGGTTTGGAGATGTTATTTAAAGAGTATAATCCAGTGAAATAAATTTGGAAAGAGGAAAAAAGGGACATGAAGAATTCAGAAGATTAGAATTTGGGAGAATACAGAGAGTGGATGCACCTGTGCCATTGCAAACGATTTTGTGCCATGTCATTCAGGGTCTTTAACCATCGGTTGCTATCATCTCGTGGTCCCCAACCAGGTAGTCTACACCTACCAACATGACTCAGTCCACTTGTCAGTGACTTCATGGACTTGTGCCATGTTTCGGTTTGGCCGCCTGTACTCACCTTGGATGGTGAGCAGATAGAATTAGTCGAGAAGTTCGTGTATCTAGGTAGCTGCATAAGTGCTGGTGTTGGCATGGGTGATGAGATCAATGCACGTATAGTGAAAGCCAGGGCGGCTTATGCCAATCTGGGCCATCTTTGGCGCCTTCGTGATGTTAGTCTGGCTGTAAAAGGTCGGATCTACAACGCATCGGTGAGAGCAGTTCTACTCTATACTCGTGAAACCTGGCCTCTCCGAGTTGAGGATGTTAGACGACTCTCTGTGTTTGATCATCGTTGTCTCCGAAGGATTGTTGACATCCAGTGGCAACACCATGTTAGTAATGCAGAGGTTCGGCATCGTGTGTTCGGGCACAGAGATGATAATCCAATTGATGTCACCATCTTGAATCATCGACTTCGGTGGCTAGGACATGTTCTACGAATGTCGTCCCAGAGAATCCCACGTCGTGCATTATTTGCCGATGCTGGGACGGGTTGGGAAATAGCGGAGAGGTGGTCAATGTATGACATGGTGTCGTGGTATGAAAAAAAGCTGCAAAGGGCTGGCCTGTGTTGGTCCTTCACGGCTCCCTGTTTGGGGTCCTAGAGATGGTGCAACACATTGGCTAGAGACGTTATCAGACATGGCTCAGAATAGAAGCCAATGGAGATCCTGCTGTAACCTTTCCGTTTCCCCCATTATTACTATTATTATTAAACTACCATACACTAATCTGTGGTCGTTATTGTCATTTTTGACGCGCACCTTACATTCTTTATCTGTCCCCATTCTCATTATTGTGTGGCGCATAAGTATCTGGTGCCCCCTTGTACCAATAAATAAGTAAATTTAGATAATGGGATAATTACCCATATAAATAAGATATGGGTTTTCACGTCTGGCCATGAGTGAAGTGAAACAAATAATTCATCAACCGTAGAATTTTGTGAATTCAGCTTAAGTCTCTTTTCTCAATATATTTTCACCTTAGTTTTAGTGCATGACGCGGATAACTGATGTTTTGGTATACAAATTTAACCTCTGGATATAAAAGAAGTTCAATGTTTAAAATCAGCTTACATTCATGAGTATATCCTAAGGGTTGACTAATATTTTTTAGATGAACTATAATTCGAAAATGTCTGACCCATGTTTGAGATACATGAGTGAATATTGCTCAGTGAACCTTAGCACACTTAGGTTCGCAAAATGTCATAGTATTTATAGATTCGCGTCCAAACCTAGTTGCTACAAACTCAGGTTGAAGTAGGAAAACAAGTCACAAAGCTTTTTCCGCAAAATATCCACGAGTACCAAACTTGTATGTGACATTAAAAATGAAGAAACTGGTCTATACAATTCATTTGCTAAAAAGGTTTTAGTTTTATTACTTATATTACACAAACTAATTTGCGATATGAATTTGATTTT